TATTTGGTCAGCCAGCCCCGAGCGCCAGCTGCTGCCTTCCCTGGGTTGCTGCTGATCATGGACCTCTCTCCATCCCCAGGAGGAGGCTGCTAAGAGCTTGCTGGCAGAATTCAACCTGGGCTGCGATGTGCAGCACACTGGCCACGTGTACCGCGTCTACGTCAACACCTTCCTGGGCTTCGGGGGCAATTTTGCCCGGCAGCGCTACGAGGAGCTTGTGCTCAACCAGACCTATGTGCACAACCGGTACTGCTGCCTTGCCTGGCAGGGCCCCTGCTGGGGCACTGCAAAAGAGGGTGCTGGTTCCTTCATGCCACCCTCTCCCCATTGGATTGCCCCAAGAGCTCCCACAGCCACGCTGGCAGCAGCAGATACCCAGGCTGGCACAGGGTGCATGGGCGCTGCCCTTCTCCGAGCGTGGCAGGCGTTATCTGTGCTGCAGCTCCCTGCCTTCCTCCTCCTCCCCTCGTGGCAGGCTGCAGGGAGGCCCCTCTGGTGGCTTTTGGCTTTTCCTGCTCTGACTTTTCCTCCTTCTCCAGCACCGATTCACTCAGCACAACTTTCCATCGCATGCCCACCTCGAGCTCTCTGTCTCCTGTCTCTCCTTCCCTTCCCTTCCCAGAGCGGTACATGACGCTGTCGCCAGAGGCGGAGAGGCTTGATGCCCAGGTACTCCTGTGCCAGGAGCAAACCCTGCCTCCAGTTCCCTGGGGGCTGCACAGGGGTGTGGATCCCTGCGAGCTGGGTGGGGCAGGCTGTGTGTTCTTGCACCCTGCAGGTGCTCAGGGCATGTGTCCGTAGGTCAGCATGAGAGATCTGGTGAGTTTGGCTCCAGCAGGAGGTGGCAGGGAAAGTGCCAGCACCACTGGGTACAAGGAGACAGGGCCTGGTCTGTTATGGGGTGTATCTGGATGTGGGGCAGCGCTAGATTAGGCTTTTAGAAGTGGTACAAGACCCTCCCCATGCAATTGCCTTTCTTTCCTGGCCTGTTTTTCAGCCTGCACGGCCAGCAGATGGGGCTGAGCCCTGAGACGCCCTTCCTGGACCCCTGCCTGCCCGTGGGGCTGGAGGACACGGTGGCGAGGGGCAGCCAAA